CAGGTGTAACTCTTATACAGCGAAAACGCTATGTTAAATGCTGTATGAAATAGTCTAGATGATCACTAATGTCTATTTTACCTTCTTCGTCAGTTTAGAGATAATACTGATTATATATTTCACATGCTAAATACGCTGATAACTTCTGCTATCAAGCGGAACAATCTAAACAATCAAAAGTTTCTTTAGACTCTAATAAGATGTAAAATAATATGATGTTTATTATTTTAGTTTACCATTACGATTTTTTGTCAATATAATTAAAAATCCTGATTTTGTTTTTGATATTCAAAAAACAAATGCTGTTGATGCATCACTGTCTGTAATTGCACAAATGTTCATGGACAGTTGTTCAGCTGGAAGTCATGAGTTAACAAAAGATTCTCCATCAACAAAATTATTATTCAATCGTGATGTACAAAAATACAAAAAACTTGTTGAAAAGTAAGATTGGTAGAGGTGATCTCCATTGCACCGCACACTGCCGCTCAAGAAAAAAATAAAACTTTTTGTACGAATTCATACATCGTAGGGGATTTCAATATTATCAAAACATGTTTTCAACTTTTTCTTCCACGTAGCGCTTTTCAAAGAATCAGCCGAAGAGACACGTATCAAACACCTAGTTCTGTTGTATTAGAATAAAATTTATGACAGACGGCCGTAATTTTTAGGTCCTGAAGTTAGAACAAAGATCCATACCAGAAGTGTGTGACATTGTGGTTATTGCTTAAAGCTCAGGAAGAAAAGTGTCGCAGATATTTTTATCAACCCACAGATATACTTGAGTATTATCCCAATAAAACTTATCGGTGATATAAATTTGTAATTATTCCTCCTACTTTTTTTCTGCAGTGTAAACAAACTTTAGACTCATTAGAATACTGTTCGGTTTAGAAGCCGAGTAAATATTTTGCCATGAATTGTTACTAATTGCGTATCTGTTTTCAGATATTATGACGGTATACATCAGTTACCGTCAGTTTCACTCGTTGATCTAAATACAGTTGTCAGACAATTATTTCAACAAGTACGATACTTTTTTTTCTAACATTACAGTCATTCATAATCACTTAATCTCTCATTTTAGCATCACCAACAAGGATTCAACTCGGCATATTCGTTATTCAGATTGTATGAGGAATTCATTAGTAAATATAAAGAAAACATACGAATAGCAATGAAAACTGATTTATTAGCAAAACAATACAAACTCTCATCATTATTGGAACAAATTATAACAGCAATGGAAACATTTGAGGTTGACGTCTGAATAATTCTCTTATGGTTCTCTATGGGTTGTTTGTTTTTTCTTAATTTTTCGTTTTAAGATAATATGATTGAATCGTATACCCAAGATCTTGAAAACTCTTGTATCATCGTTTTGTTTTACATTGACACTTAAGTGGAGAATTTTCTTTATATTTGTTCTCGTTTATGACAACCATAACCATTAGATATATTTTGTTGAGCTGCAGAAAATCTATGAGCTATCTTCTAACTAACTCAAAACCGTTTCACCAAACTTCGGCTTCTAAAATGATCTGAACCTTATATGACATAAATGATGATTTTTCCAACTTACATCACCGAACTATGAGTAGAAGACACAAAAACGCCTCAACTGTTTTAGAGATATGTGAAAACCAATAATTTTTCATACTAACAATATATTAAGATTAAATAATTTTGCTACAGTTACCAAAAGAATGTGGGTTAAGTTAAATACAGCACGAATTATTATATTTCTAAAACTAGTGAATGACTTCGTAGGTAGATTCACAATAAATGTATTATATTAGCCAAAACAACACTGTGGAAGATCAGTAATATATTTGCATTGATTGGTAAGATCACGTTTAGAATTATTACCAGAGATCCACTAAAGAGACCTGATTATTAAATATTGTCTTGTTCTGAGTTTGATGTATTCTCGTATAGAGCAGAGCTGGAACCGGACTGGTAGAGACCGGTATTTCACCGTTGAAAGTTTTGAAACATCTGCTCTTTTTTTACCCCGTTTCTCGTCAAAAAGCTAAAATTTCACGTCTTTTTCAGTCAGAATAAATAAGACGATGCTCAAG